GTTCGATGTCACACACCTGGGTGCTGTGCATGACGTGGTGGGCCCTGCGGGCACGCGTGGACCTTGGCGTCTGGCCGGTTCCGGGCTGTGCAGGAGGTGAGCATGCAGGGTCCCCTTCCCCCTGCTAACTTATGTGTGATGTAAATCGTGGCTGGTGGAGAGCAGATGTTACCCCGCTTCCCACGGAACCTCCTGCAGCAGCTCCAACGCGGCCTAAAAATAGACCTTTTGGAAAAGAGCCTGTGACCCTCCGTCACCCCTGCTCTGGGTAAAGGAAGTGCAGGAAGGGGAAGCCAAGGGGAGCCTGGGCCCGGAAGGTCCTGGAAGGTCTGGGAGCCCTGGAAGGAGAGAGGCACACTCTCCCCCTCCTCCCTCCCTCCCTCCCGGCCCCCCGGTCCTCCGTCCCTGCGGGCGCCAGAACACCAGCTGGCCGAGGAAACCAGGAAGCCAGGGGCCTCCTTTCCAAACACTGACCAGATTGCGCCTCCTCCTCTGGGTGTCAGCCGGGAAGGGGAAATGTGAGAATCTGTCAGGAGGAACACAAACCTGGTTTGCCTGGGGGACGCCGGGGACCTGGCGGGAGAAGAGCCCACAGCGGCCCCCATGCGTGCACACGTCCTGCCAGGGGGCCGTGGCCCCAGAGAGAAGTGCTTGAGGCCGGCCGCTCCCTGGGACACAGGAGAGCCTGCCTGGCCACGCTCCCTCTGAGGCAGCCACACACCCTGCCGCAGAGCGAAGTTGCCACTGTGTCACCGCGAGGCTCCCTCGAAGACAGGACACCTCGCCCGCTCCCGATGGCCCTCACGGCACCCCTGGGCCTCCTTCTGGGCCCAGACTGAGCCTGCGGACACCGAGCGCACGGAACAGGGGCTGGGCCCAGGGACAGCCCGTTTAGAGGCGTCCGTGTAACTGAACAGCAGGTGGGCGAGGTGAACGGGAGCGGCCACACGTGTTCCGTCTGCCCTCCCGACGTGCCCTTCCTGGAATGAATGCCGTGCGTCCACGCGGAGGCTTTGAGCATGTGTCTGTGCTTGGACTCGAGTTTCCAGTGCCTTGCGTGTCTGAGGACAGAGGCCGTGCCCCTTCGCCCTGAGGCCCCGCTCCTGCTGGGTGGATGGAGGGGGCTGCAGCATCTCTGAGCACACAGAGGGGCCCGGCTCTGTGCTAGAAGGGGCCGGGAAGCCAGTGTCCCCGCACCGAGGTCCTTGGCTGGCCCTTGTCCAGATTGAGGGTTAATTAAGTCCTGTCGCCCGGGGCAGGGAACCAAATCCAGCCATGGCCCCAGCGTTGGTGCAGAGTTGTGAACAAAGCCACTTTCATGGGGAGCGCTGAGCTTGCTGTTTTCTGGAACAGGGACAGGGTAACAGGGACAAAGCAGGACCTTATTTCCCTCCTGCCTCTTCCCCGCTGGTGGTGATCTCAGGCGCCATGCGGGCGTGGCATGGGATTCCCAGGATCGCCATGACCCAGGGACATGGGAGCGGGCAGCCCCCGTGGCTGCAGCAGGACCCCTGAGAGCACCATCGGTCACCCACTGTGGGCTTGACTGAGAAAGAGCCCTCCTGACCCCGAAGTTCAGCGCTGCTCCTTGGCCTGGGGGTGATCAGGACATCCACCCTGACTCCTCGGGGCCAGACCCACATCCTGCCCTGGACTTTTCCCTTTCACTGCTGAGCCGCTGCAAACTCGTTCATTAATTCATAGCAGGTGCGAGAAGCTCCCAGTAGCGCCAGCCCGGTGGTGGGGGCCCCACTGGGAGCACAGAGCCCTGGGATGTTACACTCATTCCCATGGCATCCACTTAGGTTACTGGAAACCCACATACTTCCAGGCTCCCATAGAATGGGCTTGCTCCAGGAAGCCTTCCAGCTCCGCCCCCCCCGCCCAGGCAGAAGGAGAGTCTCCTGCAGGTGCCTCTGAAGCCCACAGGCTGACCTCTGGCACCACGCTCACCTGGAGGCCAGCAGCCAGCGCCGTGCTCACAGGTGGTTGGCGCTCAGCAGCTCCATCTTACATGGGAAATGGACACGGGGATGCACTAACTGAGGATGTTTTACTACCAAGAAGACAATTGCAGGGGGAGGGAAGCACCTCGAGTCTTTGTTTTCCCATCCCAGCTTCACTTGACAGGATTGGAGGGTGGGGTTGCAGCCCATCCAGTTGGCTGATTTATTTACAAACTTTATTTTATTTTGAGAGAGAGCGGGGAGGGACAGAGGCAGAGGGAGAGAGAGAATCCTCAAGCAGACTCCCTGCTCAGCGCGGAGCCCGGCGCAGGGCTCGATCTCACGACCCTGAGATCCTGACCTGAGCCGAAACCAAGAGCTGGACTGAGCCACCGACGGAGCCCCCCACGCACGCAACAAACGTGTGTTTCAGAAGGTGTCCTGTGGGAGGTCATCCTGGCGTGCGGCGCGCCTCCCAACTGGGAGTAAGACCACGCCGCCCCAGGGCTTTGGAGGTGCAGGAGGTGTGCGTGCGGATCAGACGCGGCCCTGGTGCTGACCACGGGCGTCAGAGTGGACGCTGGGGGCAGTGCCCGTGCCCGGGGATGCACGGTGCGGTTTGTACGGACACGACGTGAGCGCTGGGCTCTTCGGTAAAGACATGTTTACTGAGTGTTTAAAAGATGAACACTGAAGTTGGCTCCCTGCTTCCTCCCCAACTGGACAAGGCGCTGTTTCAAAGTTGGTCTTTGATTTTCATCACTTTTACTATTGAGTGAATGTGTACGGTTTTCTTTTTACTTATCTTGCTTTGGTTTCATGGATTTTTCCTAAAACCGTGGCTTGATTTCTTCAGTGTGTAGGGGGGAATTCTCAGTAAATACCGTTCCCAGGCTTGCTTGGGCCTCATTCCGCTCCTCCCTGGCCCCCGTTGTGTGTGTGTTAGAACTCCTCACCATGTCCCACGTGGCGTCGTTCCCTTCCCTGTCTTCCGTGCCTTTCCTGGCTTGATACTCCTCTGACTTACCCCCAGCTCGAGCACCAGCGCCTTCACCATGCATCTGCTGGTGGAATCGTTGGCCTCCTGCTTCATTTCATTAATTTTATTTTCACGTCATGCTAGGATTTCCACTCGATTATTCTTAATGCACTCCAGTTCTTCTGTGAAATTCTCTTATATTTTTCTGAAACGTTTTCCGTTTACCTATTTTCAAGTGTGTGTCTTTTAACTCCAATGCGTATACAGCTGTAGCTGTTCTTCTTCTTTCTCTTTTTTTCCCTTTGTTTTCATTTCTTTGTTCTGGTACCTGTTACTAGCATGCCAGGTCAGTTCTTTAAATTAAATATTTGAATTGTGTCTGAAAATTATAGATAAATAGGTAGTTGGGCGAATGGATGGATGATGGATGGATGAATGGATGGATGGACGATAAATGATTAGATGGGTGGACACATGGATGTTTAGATAGGTAGGTAGATGGTTGGATGGATGATAGATGGGTGGATGGGTGGATGGATGGATGGATGATAGATAAATAGATGGGGTGGATGGATGGTTAGTCAGGTGGATAGATGGATGGTAGATAGGTGCGTCAATGGATGGATGGATGATAGATGGGTGGATGGATGGATGATCTATGGATGGATGGATGATAGATGATTAGACGGATGCAGGGGTGAATGGTTAGGTAGGTGGATAGATGGATGGTAGATAGATAGGTGCGTGGCTGGATGGATGGGCGGATGGATAGATGACTGAAGGATGGATGGATGCTAGATGATCAGGTGTGTGGATAGATGGGTGGATGGTTAGGTAGGTAGGTGGGTGGATGGATGGTTGGATGGATGGATCGATCTATAATAGAGGCAGGCTTTGGAGGGTGATACTTACTTCCAGAGGAAGATTTTCTCTGGGGCAGACTACTGAGATCAGGGCGGGGGTGGGGGGGAGGCTCATCTGTTTCTGGCCCTGGTATCCCTACAATGTAGCCTTCAGGGGCCTCACCTTGAATCTTAGGTAAGTGCCTTGGGCTCCCCGGTTGTTTTTCGGCCCCACCATGAAACTGCCCAAATCCCTGCTTATTCTGTGGCTTCTCAGCCACTTCCGTCTCGGTTCCAGGAGTTTGGCTCTGTTCTCTGAGCTAAGGAGTCAGAAACGCCTGCAGGGGAGGCTGTGCTCAGAATGGTTCTTCACTTCCCTCAAGTCCTGGCTGCCTGCATAGCTCAGCCTCAGTTTTTATCTCTGCAGATCATCAGTGGGATTTCCACAGCCCTGACCACGGGCTTAGGTCCAGCCTCTAATCCACGTGCTGCCAAATGGGTCTGTGGCCGGGATGTGTGACTCACCTTAATGCTGCCCCTTTCCTGGAAATGAGTAATATGAATGATGTGGAATTTTTAAAAACTTCATCATGCTTTTATCCACCCTCCCTTGTTCTAAAGCAGAAACCAAAATAACCTGTATTTCTTACAATGTTATTTTATTGACCCTGGTAGATTTGCCCAGTTCTTAAAGCTAAGTATTTTTGTTTTTTTGTTTTTTTAAAAAAGGCAAGATTTAAAAAATACCCAGAAATAATGACGATGCTGGGCCTCAAGCAGATGGGCATTTTGTCAGGGAAATGTACAAAATTCGGTGGAGCGTGTGGACTTGGTGTTAAACAGCTGGTTTTCATGGTGCTTGACCGCACGCCCTGAGTGACGGGCTGAACCAGGGTCTGTGCCCCTTTCGGGGGCAAGGACACCAGCCAGCAGGGCCATGTTGGAGGTGGGACGTTTACTGGAAAGCTCGTGGTCCAGGGTGTGGGCCGAGCTACCCGCTGGGGACAGATGGAGCTTAAGCGCCCACCCAGCCACAGCCCCTGGGCTTGCTCTTTCTGGAAAGTGGGTCTTTTCTGTGGAGCGTCTCCTGCTGGTGTGCAGACAGAAGGCTTGGCCCTTTCTAAAGTGAGAGCTGGCCTGCAGGATGGGCAGGTCCATCCGTAAGTACACAGGCCTTCAGGGGGTGACACTGTGTGTGCTCCACGCCCTTGTCCTTGCAGACGAGCTTGCAAGATGCTCCTCAGCTCACCTGGCGAGCTGGAGCCAGGCGCGAGCCCTGTGTTCCGCGTCCTGCGTTTGGGGAGCGTGCCGGGCAAGAGTGACCCGCCCGTGGTGGAATCCAGCCCCTCGCCTGTGGCACGCATCTCCAGGAGTGACCCCGTTCCTTCCAGGACAGAGACCAGGCCTGTAAGCGGATCTCTGTTCTGCTTTCTCTGCCGCAGATACTCGAGGCTGCGCTGAGATCCTGCATCGCACGGTGGGGATGTCCGAGAGCCCCGTGGGGCCCAAACCCGCGACGCTCCGGACCGACATGCCGGCGGCACCTGCCTTTCAGCGGGCGTTCACGTCCTCCTGCACCATCTCCAGCAGCAGCCCCGGCCAGCAGCGGGACAGGTAGGGAGACGGGCCCTTGAACGCAGCAGCGCAGGCTGCTCCCGAAGACCCTGACCGCGGACCCCGGGAGGGGAGGGCGGGGGGCTCCACCTGCAGCTGACGCCCGGCTGCTCTTGATTCAGAAATGTAATCACAGGTACAAACTCCGGAGACTGTGCCCCCCCCCCCCAGTGTTGACAGGCTGAGCACTCAGGGACCGCACTGGCAGGTGGAGTCTGGGGCCAGTTAAGGACCAGGTGTCTGTGACCACGTGCTCTGAGCTGAGGCTGGATCAGGGATGTGGGGGGCTGGCCGGGGCTTAGTCTCCCTTGGCGGCCAGGCCAGGCCAACTCCAGACTGGGCGGAGGGGCAGGCAGGACGGTGGTGGTCCTGGAGACGTGGAGGTTGTGCTGGTGTTGGGAAAGTGCGGGGACACCCCTCGGGGGGATTGGGAGAGCAGAAAGGGGGGATGCAGACACTGAGCCGCTGCATGGGCCCAGCGTAGGAACGGCTCCTGAGCGGCTCCCTTGGGCAAGGACACGGCGTCCCAGTTCACTCTCCGCATCCTGCCTCCTGACTCTTTACAAGGGGTGGGGCTCAGCTGAGAACGTCCCACACAGAGCACAAAGTGTTTGTTAGTGAGGTGTGTGTGATGTGGTAGCTTGGCGGCTGACTTTCTGGGTTTCTAACCCTACGGGACTTTCTGATACCCTTGATCTGGGAAATCCCGGTTTTGGATATGGTAACTTCTCGTGATCTTTTTTTTTTAAACAACCTGTATTTTATCTTTTAAGTAGGCTCCACGCCCAGCGTGGAGCCCAGTGCAAGGCTTGAACTCAGAACCCTGAGTCAAGACCTGAGCTGAGATCAAGCCCCGGCTGCTTAACCTACTGAGTCCCCCAGGCGCCCCAACTTCTCCTGTTCTTACTGGGATCCCATAATCAGCTGGTTTTCCAGCGAGCACTTAGTGGAAACTGAGTCGGGCCCCCATGTTAGCTCTCGGGGGAGGAGGACGAAGAAAGCGGGGGACACGGTCTGTGCCCAGGGAACGACGCTCTGCCGGTATACGGTGAACCGTGTGGTTGACCTCGGAGGGAGGGACATGGGGACGTGGGCGGTGAGCTGGACACAGGCGGTGGTTGAGTTTTGTCTGGAGCGGAAGGGGCTTTGCTGGGTGAAGAGCGAGGAAGGATATCACCGGAGCACTGGGGGACCCTTGCCGATCTCGGGGCATCTTCTAGGGCCGGGCGTTCTCACTGCTGTGTCCTTCCCACAGCCCTTCGTCTGCTGAGCTCCCGTGGGTGGAGAGCAGCCCCAAAGCCACGCTGGCTCTGCTGGGGAGCAGCCGGCCGGCAGGAAGCCTCCTTGGCTCCGGAGAGTTTCCCAGCCCCAGCCCCGACGGCCCCGGGCGGCCCCACCTCCCGCCCACGGAGCTCCAGGCCTCTTTCCACAACCACGAGCTGTCCCTGGCGGAGCCCCCTGAAGCTCTGGGCCCCCCGAGTGGCCAGGCTTTCCTGAGTTTCGGCACAGCCCCCGTGGGAAGCGGCCTTCCCCCCGGGGAGGACCCGGGCGCCTTGCTGGCTCATTCCCACGGAGCACCCCAGGCCCCTGGCACCCCGCGGACAACAGCAGTGGCCGACAACGGCTTCCTGTCCCACGGCTTTCTCATGACGCCTGGCCATGGCGGCCACCACAGCCCGGTCCTGCTGGGCCAGGGCCTGACCCTGCCCGGGCAGCCGCCCCTTCCTGAGAAGAAGCGAGCCTCAGAGGGGGACCGGTCTTTGGGTTCGGCCTCCCCGTCCTCGAGCGGCTTCTCCAGCCCGCACAGCGGGAGCACCATGAGCATCCCGTTCCCAAACGTCCTCCCGGACTTCCCCAAGCCTTTGGAGGCTGCAGCGCCCTCCCCAGGTAGGTGCGTGTCGGCGGTGGTGGGTGCCCCCACGTGCGTTCACTCAGCAGAGGGGGCACCCTGGGATTCCCGGGCGGCGCCTTGAGAGCGAAGCCCAGAGCCTTCCATCGGGGTCTTCCCCTCGTGTCCTCCGTTCCCCTCTGCTCTCCACTCACCCACGTTGGCTTCTGTTTCTCCCGCCACTTGCAGTCCTCGTTCTTCAAAAATAACCTTTCTTTTCTCAATTCAGCGAATTTATTCAATTTAATGCAGTATTTCAAACATGTACGAATAAGATCCTCACACGATTCAGCCACACCGCGCTGCTCTGTCTGTGGAGAGCAGCCTGGCGTCGGCCGCGTGTCGCTCCCCATCTGTGCTGTGTGGGTCGAGAAGCACCTGCTCCCTGTCGCGCCCCCCAGCCGGTTCCCACGGAGTTAGAGAGAGCGCTCTTCCCCGAGACACACCGTCCTCGCCCTGGGTTGGACTTTGAGCACTGGGTTCTGTGCGAGGTGAGAGGTTGCAATAAAATGTCCAGGGTGACTGTTTTTACATTCTCTTCTACAGATAATCCGGGTGATAAGCATGTGTCTGTGAACTTTGTCCAAGACACATCCAAATTCTGGTACAAGGCGGATATCTCCAGAGAGCAAGGTGCGTGGGCAGGACGGGAGCCCGGGGTGGGGACGTCTGAGGGTCACGGCCTCGGGATGAAGGGTTAGGGCAAGGCTTGCACTTTGTTATACACCCCTGTGGAAGATGCAACAGATTGTCCCGGGAAGATGCTCCCCGTCGCCATCCAGGCTCTGAGCTGCAGGGGCCGACGGTCAGGAGGAAGGACAGCGGTCTCTCCAGCACCCTGGTATCTGTGCACCTGCATTTGTCCACGGCGGACAGACACATGCTTACCGAGGGGCCGTGTGTTGGACGTAACCGCGTGCCTCGCACACGTGCTGTGCAGTGTCTGCGTGCCCGGGGCGGCCAGCAGACATCTGACCTCAGTAGTGTGTTTGAGCAGCTAATGCCACTTCTTCCCGGAGGACGAATAGAAGACAGGTCCAGGAGGGAGGCGGCCCCGCGAGGCAGCCCTGGGGGCGAGCAGCTGTCGTCCTGCAGATTCGTGGGGTCGCTGCGACATGCTGGTCCTCCCCGGAGGTGCTCCCAGAGGAAACCCGGGGACTGCTAGCGGGCGTGGGGCTGGGCCGGGGACAGCATGCCTTGGATCCGGGAGGAGGGATGCACGGCGTGGCCCCCCGTGCAGCCCGCACGGCTGACAGCTTCGGGTAGAAAGTCATCCGGTGTCGTCCTGAGGCTTACTTCCCAACCTGGCTGGAAAGAAAGAGTTAAGTGGCTGGCAAACAGCACTGTTCAGCTTTCTCTTTGGAATTTTTCTATTCAATTAAGTAGCTCATAAAAATGGTAAGAATGCGCCTTTCTTCCCCTGAGCTCAAGGAACCTATTGTCATGTTTCGTGGGGGGAGCCCGCGGCCCGGAGAGACCTCCGATTCCCTGAATTGGGCTTTGTGGTCATGCTGCTCAGCTCGGGTCCGGGCTGTGCGTGGCCGAGTGCCCTGTTCTTGTCCCCTCCCTGCCCACGGCACGGGATGGAGGCTGTGAGCCCAGCACCCAGCACCTCGTCCAGCTGGGGGGAACTGAGAAGGGCCTGTGACATGTTCTAGAAAATTCTGTGCAGACCACGTACTCCACTCGTGCAGCATCTGGCCCGGGATGGCGGGCTGGGCGGGGGCTGCCGGACTGGGGCTCCACTTCTGAGGCAGATGGCGAGCGCCAGGCGGTCCCTGCAGGACAGATGTGGCGGATCCAACCTCGCCGGGTTCTGGAGGGTTCGCCGTGGGAGGCACCTGATGAGCACACGAGGGGTGGTGGGCTCTGGAGACACCAGCTGAGGGAGCCGTGGGGACGTGGCCACTGACTCCACCGGCCTCACGGGAACATGAGGCCCCCGCGGGGCAGGGCCTCGTCCTGTGGGATGGGTCCCCCTCATTCTGTTTCAGAACAGGGTCTGACATTAACCCCAATCTCCCCTCCCGGGGGGGCAGCCCCGGCTTCCGCTCCGTCTGCGGCCATGACGCTGGGGCACTTCTGTCCCACCCCCCACCCCCCCAGCGAAATAAGATCACGACGTTAAAAGGGGAAACCAAAAGCGCTGGTGAGGTATGTCACGACTGAAAACATGCAATTCTATCAGAGGTCTTTTCCCTACGGCCACAGAATAATGCACGGTCAGCCCCCCGATGCAGACACCTGCCGCCAACGGGCCTGCTGGTGCCCGCGTGCGCCCGCCTCCCCACCAGCCCCCACGCCCGTGTGGATGGCCCTCGGGGTCAAGTGCAGGCCCTCGCAGGCCTGCGCCAAACCCCCCCCCCTTCCAGAGAGCTGTGCCTTCCCCACCTGGCAGACCCCGCTTGGAGAATGGAGGGCAGGAATTTTATTTGTAAAACCATTATTAGCTAAATGCCCCCCAGCCTCAGGTAGGGAAGATGGGAGGGCAGGTCGGCCAGGCCCAGCCATCAGCCCTGACTGGGTAGGGCACTCACAGCCCCATCCAGGCTGGATGCAGTCGGCCACGGAGCCACGGGACGGAGGGCCACTTACGGCCACATTTTTGCCATCCCCTGGGGTGAACTGTGGGATTTGCATTAAACATTCAGTAACTTTTTAGGTCCATCCTTTCAATCTTTCCCTCTGCTTGGTTGGAAGCGCACACTCTAAAATGTCTAAGTACAATGCTGCGCTGGGAGGGGGCACCAGGCGGGGCCACAGCAGGGCCCGGAGAGAGCCTCACGCCTCGCCTCCTGCCCCGCCACGCTGTGCGTACTGGGACCTGGCCGGGCACTTGGGCTGGTGGGTGGGTCCGGTTCCTGGGCGGTCAGCTGAGGGTCCTCCCCTGTCCCTCACGGGTGCTGTGGGGCAAGCAGGAGCCCTGTATGCCTTCTGGGGTGGGGGGGCTCCTTTGCAGTCAGGCCCCCCTTGAAAATGATGCATCGTCACAGAGACCCCCACCCCACCCCCAAGGGACCTGGGCCTGCTCCCTCCGACCCAGTTTGCAAAAGCACCGCAGGCAGGCCGTGTGGACCCCGGCAAACGTGTGTGTCTCTGCTTCCCTCCCCAGCCATCGCCATGCTGAAGGACAAGGAGCCTGGCTCATTCATTGTCAGGGATAGTCACTCCTTCCGAGGGGCCTACGGCCTGGCCATGAAGGTGGCCACTCCTCCCCCTTCCGTCCTGCAGCTCAACAAGAAAGGTAGGGACCCGGGAGCGGATCGGGAGCACTCACCCACCTACGGTGTCTGTGCAAACATGGCTTTGAGTTTCTTCGGAGTCTGTCTTTTTCCAGCGTGGTCCACTCAGGACTGTCCTTGTGCAAGCAACATCGTTAATGATTTGTGAAGTTTATGTCTTTATTGCTGTGAATGAGTGATGCATTCCCTTGTTCGGCGGCCAGGAGGGTAGAAACGGGCCTCACCGAGGCACCCGGCCCCCCTTCTGCCCCAGGAACCGTAATCAATTCCTGTGATTTCTCACCGACTGTCTCTCCAGCATCTGTACACAGACACTTTCCTTTTTCCTCACGTGAGAGGCCGTGCCCTGCGCACACCATTCTCGCACCTGCGCTCCGGAGAGCACTTTGCTGGATTAAGAGTGATGCTGGGGTCAGCCTGGAGTCACAAGAGGAGCCCCGGGGGTGGGGGACCAAGCTGTCCTTGTCCCCAGTGTCCTGTGCCCGATGAACCGTGCACAGCTGTATTCAGATCTTCTACTTACTCTTCTGTGAACTTTCCGTCTTGGACACAACCACGTGCAGAGAGGGTGTCGATGGCTCCGTGCATGGTAAATGTTCCCATGAAGCAAACACAGGCGTGCCCGTAGCCCAGGAGACAACCTTGGCAGGAGCCCCCTGCGTGCCCCTCCTGCGTGTCACACTCCGTCATCCCACGATCTTTCGGGTATTCCAGCGACCCCTAGATTGGGCTCCGTGAGGCCCTTGGGGCTGGCCCTGTGTCCTTCCAATGTCCTACTGTCTGTCCTTTCCCTGCCCACCATTTCTCTAAGAATCCCCACTTCTGTGTGCTGGGGGGCGGTCTCTGGGAACCTGAACGTGTGAGTGCTGGGTGTGTTGGAGTGTCCGAGGGTGACTGCTTCTCTCTGGTGTCCAGAGCGAGGAACTGGATCACTCTTAAAAGGTTGGTGAGTTGGCTCAGATAGCAGCTCCAGCGCGGAGTCACGGAGTCCATCACGGGGCCTTTCCCACCCTCTCCTGGTGACAAGCCCCGTCCCCAGCTGCACCCGCCCCTTCCTCCGTGTCCTTACGGACACACACCCTTCAGATCACCCATCCTGCCACTGCAGACAGGAGGCCTACTAAGTAGAAGGTAGAGTTACAGCTTGTTTATATTAACCACCAAAATAGGAATCCCTGAACATCGTGGTCTTGCCTGTTTTCAACTTAAATTAGAAAACTAGTATGTATTTTTTTGTAAGTTGCTTTTGCTCATGTTACAAGATTCATTGTTTCTACTTGTAACACTGCTTGTACCTGTTGCTCTCTGACGGCTTTCCAGGGAATGAATGCAGGCCCACCTCGGAGACATGGCAGGAGTGTATATAACGTGAATCACGGTAATACGTATCGCAATAACGCGTATTGCTACGATGCGCGTCAGATAAGCTTTGGGGCTCCTCAGTGCACGTAAAAGCGACGTTTACTCTGTACTGTGGTCTGCTAAGTGTGCAACAGCCTCATGTCTAAAAAAACAATGCACACACCTTGATGAAAAAATACTTTTGGTGAAAAGCTCACCACCATCTGAGCGCATCACCTGTCGTAATCACGGATCATGGTGATCAGTGTAATAATAACGAAAAAGCTGGAAATACTGCGAGAAATACCAAAATGTGACACAGAGACACGAAGTGAGCAAATGCCTTTGGAAAAACAGCGCCAGGAGCGTCACTTGACGCAGGGTAGACACCAGTGGTCGGTTTACGTTTCACAACAGGAAGCTCAAGAAGGAAGCAGGCTCCTCGTGTGGGCGCCGGGCTCACCAGGAACGGGGGAATCCAGATAAGCAGATTCGGAGCTCACACGTTTAAGGAGCAAAGTGACATGGGTCTGCTTCACTCCCATGCTGCGCCCAGGATCTGAGAGGCTTGATGGGAATCCCTGGGTGGAGGCTCTGCTCACGGCTTCCAGGAGGAAGTGACCTCAGAGCTGTGCCTGGAAGGACGTGAGATTTGGTGGCCAAAGCATCCGGCCGAGGGGCTTTCAGGGAACCTAGGTGTCTGCTGTGGGGTGAGCGGAAGGGGCAGGATGCAGGGGACTCAGCACAGACCCCAAATCCAGATGGTGTTGTCTGGAAGCAAAGCGGGAGGAGGCTTCGTGCAGATCGAGTAGAACAGCTGAGCGGCGAGGAACCCGGCGTGAGAAGCTCCAGCAATCCTCAACGAGGATTCGAGCAGGGAGAGTCTCGGGACAGGAGTGGCTTGGGTCTGTGGACGGGGTCCAGGGGAGAGCGGGGACGGGTGCTGTGGAGCGTGCAGGGTGGCTCTTGGCTCCGTGGAAACTGCAAGCCAGCGTCTTTCCTGCATGCACTGTCGCTTCGGAAATGTGGATGGTGCTGTGTGCGTGTTCTCGGTTCCCGGCGTGCATCCGCATCTCAGGCCGACCTGGACTCAACCCTAAGGTGAAGGCCACAAAACGTCCCCAGTGTCCTCTGGCTGAAATCTTCGCTGGCTGCCTGTCCTCGTCCAGCCCTGGATTTGGCAGTTGGGTGTCATGGTGCAAGGAGAGGTTTGAGAGGAAAGAGCGCAGCGAGTCAGCATCCCGCCTCTTGGTACCCGGAGACCGGGCAGCGACAGATGTCCAGGACGGATCTGTTCTCTGGGCAGCCAGCCGGCTGGCCATCCCACTGAGACACTTGTCCCCGGCACATGTGTCCCCTTCAGTGCGGAAGACGCGGATCCTTTCCCTCCCACAGCTGAGGAGGCACGATGCTCCTTTCCACACCTGTGTTCACCACAGCCTTCCGTGGAGTCTGGCCATCTCCCTCCCCGCGGGCAGGTGCTGCTGTTGGGCGATTTCCAGCTCAGTTTGGAGGTTTTCTGGGCGTGCCTTGTCTTCGGATGCACGGGCTGGCGGGGGCAGCGATGTTCTGTCTGGTCCCAGTGACGGAGGGCTTCCTCCCTGGGGGTCTGTCACGTGGCTCCTGGCTCAGTCATACCCTCAAGGCTGGTCCTTTCTAGCTCTTGTCGGTGGCTTGCTATCGGGCATCACCTTGCATCCAGATCCTTCTAACCTCTCCTGTTACGAGGGCTAGGAGCTGGACAGCGTGTTTCTGTTCACAGCAGCTGACTCATTCCCTGCACTGGGGATGCTTGCAGGATGTGTGAGGGTCTCTCCCGGGACCCCTGCACCTCCGGGCATGTCACCCTGGGGGGCTCCGCTCTCCTTCCCAGGACGCTGCTTGGCAGCCCACCGAGGCCAGCGGCCCGGCTCCGGGACCCCTCCCTTTAGCTGGTGCTCTGTCCCTCTCTCCCATCCTCCCGTGCTCGCATTCTTTTTTTTAAAGATTTTATCTATCTATTTGACAGAGAGAGACACAGCGAGAGAGGGAACACAAGCAGGGGGAGTGGGAGAGGGAGAAGCAGACCTCCGGCCAAGCAGGGAGCCCGGTGCGGGGCTCGATCCCAGGACCCCGGGACCATGACCTGAGCCGAAGGCAGATGCCCAACGACTGAGCCACCCAGGCGCCCCCCGTGCTCTTATTCTTAAATTCTCTTTTCTTTCTTTTCACTCTCTCACCACAGCGGGAGATCTGGCCAATGAACTTGTTCGGCACTTTTTGATCGAGTGTACCCCGAAGGGAGTGCGGTTGAAGGGGTGCCCCAACGAACCCTATTTCGGTAAGTGGCTGCGAGGTCACAGTTGGCGTCCTGGCCCATGCGGTGTGCAGCCCCCTGCTGCCCCAAGCAACGGGGCTTCCCCCCCCACCCTGGGCTCCCCAGGCCCCTCACCCGATTATCGTCTCCAAGATAAACTGGATAAGGAATTGTTCTGAAGGCTTTCTCAAAACCAAACAGATGGCAAGCAGGCAGGCCCATGGGCACGGACCGGGTTAGCGCTTCCTTCCCAACCTCGCAGGCTTGTTGGGACGACACACAGACGCACGGTCCTAGCCTCCGGGAGCACCTTGCAGGGACCACGGAGGCACCTGGGCTGTCTCAGACTCAGCTGACGGCTGACTTCCTCTTTCCAAATTGGTGCCTGTGTGCCTTGGCCCAGAATCACCTGCAGTTCCTCCACCTAGCTCTTAGCTGTCTTGCTGGACTGGTCACTTCACTGAAGTTTTGCGCCAAGTCCCGCAATAACGGAGCATGTTAGTTGCTACAAATATAAGTGCTCGCCCTCCACAGCAGCTTCCTTCCTGCGGTGCCGTGTTTAGGGCCGTGTTAACGCCCATCTGCTGTTCATCCGTTTGCAGGGAGCCTCACGGCTTTGGTGTGTCAGCATTCCATCACGCCCTTGGCTTTGCCCTGCAAGCTGCTCATTCCAGACAGAGGTACGCGGTCGGGTCCTCCGTGCTCTTCTGGCTGGCCGCGTGCATGTCGGGTACGGCGTGTCGGGTCCATGAGGATCCACCGGCAGAAGTCAGACCGGAATCTTCCTCTGTCCTGTGCCCTGTGGGTAAACCCCAAAGAGTGTCGTGTAGCCCACCCAAGTCGGCCGACAAGAGGCAGCGCCCAGCGACGCCATCACCTTACGGGCTTTGTGAATGGCTTCCCTGGATAGAAAGCACCTGCACCAAGAGAACTTCAGGGCCACACTTGAATTAATTTGTACAGTTCTACAAAATCAGCAAGATATTGGTATTTTTGAGCTTATGTGACAAACTATTCTCTTTGCCTTTATGGCTGTTTGAAAATATCTCTAATTAGGGAAAAAAGCACCCATTGCATAACAGCGTGATTTGGCCATATTTCCCAGCTTCCTATTTCACATAACTTTATTAGATTCCATAGTGATAAATTTATAATATAGGTAAGTGTGATTTACCTTTTGCAATTCATTGTTCATGAGAGCTGAGAAAGACATGTTGCTGGACCGTGTCGCCCCCCTGCCTGCTCAGAACGCAGTGCTGGGGTCCGCGGGCTGGGGGTTGTCACCAGGAGACAGACAGGTCACCCCCCGGGAATCCAGGCCCGAGTCTGACCGTGTCGTGAAGATTCTTCTCCGGTGAGCCGGACTCATTTCTACGTTTTCTTGCTCTGTCCCGCAGATCCGTTGGAGGAGATAGCCGACAGCTCTCCCCAGACAGCAGCCAACTCGGCCGCGGAGCTGCTGAAGCAAGGGGCAGGTCAGTCTCTGGCTTCACGTGCTCCGTCCTAGTTCCTGGGCGGAAGGGGGTCACCTTGGGTCTGCGGGTTTCCTCCTGCTGTTTGTGTGAAGGAGCCCGCTCTCTGGGAGCCCCCCCGGCCTGGTTGGGCAGCGAGTGTGGGCGGACAGAACCAGGACTCCCTGGGCTGGAAATGTCCCCACTACAAACAAGACCAGAGACCGTGGGAGAGAGCCAAGTCCTGGGTTTCGTCTGGGGAGAAGGCAGGGAGCCGGGATGTGGGGGGCCTGCCCCCCCCCAGCCATGAGTATAAAAGCACTCACGGGCCTGACTCAGCAAGCCGATGGTTTCGCCCTCGCTGCCCGCAACCCAGGGTGATGCAGACCCCCAGACAGTGCGCTTGCCTGGGCACCTGTTTTTTAAATTAATAAACTTTATACATTTTTTAGAGCAGTTGTAGGTTCACAGGAACATTAAGAGGAAGGTACAGAGGTTTCCCCCACACCCCCTGCCCCGTGCATGTGCAACGTTCCCCATTACGGCGTTCCCCCACCAGAGGGTACATTTGGTCCCATCTGTGAACCTACGTCATTATCACCCAGAGTCCAGAGTCTCCGCTGGGGCTCACGCTCGGTGGTGTTCCTTCTGTGGTTTTGGACAAATGCATAATGCTGTGTATCCACCACCAGAGTATCACTCAGAGTGCTTTCGTCATCCTAAAAATCCTCTGTACTCCACCTGCTCACCCCCGCCCTCCAGACCCTGGCATCGTTGACCCCTTCCTTGTCTCCGTGGTTTTGCCCTTTCTAGAATGTCTTAGAGTTGGAATCATTACAGTTGGTAGCCTTTTCAGATGGACTTCGTCCCTGAGTGACAGAAGTTTCCTTCATGTCCTTTCGTGGCTCGGTAGCTCATTGCTTTTTAGTGCCGAATGATCTTATGTTGTCTGGACGGACCACAGTGTACTCATCTGTTCCCCCACTGAAGGGCATCCTGCTTGCTTCCAACTTTTGGCAGTTACGAATAAAGCTGCTGTAACATCCGTGTGCGGGTTTCTGTGTGGACGTGAGTTTTCAGCTCCTTTGTGTAAATAAAAAGGAGCATGATTGCTGGATCGTATATTAAAAGTATGTTTAGTTTTGTGGGCTTTTTAGATTTTATTTATTTGAGAGAGAGGGAGCGCGCATGCATGCACATGCGCATGAGCGTGGGGAGGGGCAGAGGGAGAAGCAGACTCTCTGCTGAGCACAGAGCCTGACATAGGGCTCGATCCCAGGACGCTGAGATCATGACCTGAGCTGAAGACAGATGCTTAACCGACTGAGCCACCCAGGTGCCCCTGGTATGTTTAGTTTTGCAAGAAACCAGCATTGTCTTGCAAAAGAGCTACACCATTTTGCATTCCCACCAGCTATGGGTGGGAGCTCCTTTTGCTCCATATCTTCACCAGCATTTGGTGTCATCAGGGTTCTGGATTTTGGCTGTTCTAATAGGTGTGCATTGGTATCCCATCGATGTTTTAATTTGCATTTCCCTGATGACACGTGACATGGGTCATCTCTCCATCATCGCCGCCTGTACACCTTCTTTGGTAAGATGTCTGTTAAGGTATTTGGTCCGTTTTTAATTGGGTGGTTTTCCTGCTGTTGAATTTTAAGAGTTCTTTGTATATTTTGGAGACCAGTCCTTTATCAGACGTGTCTTTTGCAAATATTTCCTCCCAATCTGTGGCTCGTCTTCTCATTCTTTTGACGTTGTCTCTCACAGAGCAGAAATTTTTAGTTTTAATGACATCCCGTTTATCATTTCTTTCTTTCATGGGGTGTGCCTTTTGTCATGTCTTTGAAAAGTTTGTCACCAAACCCAAGATGATCTTGGATCATCTTGGATTTTCTCCTATGTGATCTGGAAGTATACTTTTACATTTTACATTCAGGTCTGCGGCCCACTGTGAGTCAGGGTTTGGGAAGGGTGTGAGGTCTGTGTTACGGTCTCTGTTTTGCACGTGGGCGTCCAGCTGTCCCAGCCCCCTCTGTGGAAGACGTGATCTCCTCTCCATTGTGTTGTCTTCACTCCTCTATGAAAGATCAGCTGACTTTATTGATGTGGGTCTATTTCTGGGCTCCCAGTTGTTTTCTCTTGATCAATTTGTCTGTTCTTTTACCAATAATACAGTCTCGACTACTAGCTTTCCAGTAAATCTTGAAGTCAGGTAGTGTCAGTCCTCCAACTCTGTGCTTCTCCTTCAGTCTCCCTCAATTCTTGTTCAGTCTGTGCTATTCTTGGTCTTTTGCTTCCATATAAATTCTAGAATCCGTTGGTCAATATCCACAAAATAACTTGCTGGGATTTTTATTGGAATCGTATAGTGTCTATAGATCAGGTTGGGAAGAACCGACATCTTGACAAAATTGAGTCTTCCTATCCATGAGCATGGTATCTCTCTCCCATTTATTCAGCTATCTTATATTTTTCGTCAAAGTTTTATAATTTTCCTTGTAAGTATTTCTTGTACATAATTGTATTAGATTGATACCTAGGTATTTCACTTTGGGGGCTGCTAATGTACCTTGTATTGTGCTTTTAATCCCAAACTGTGATTGTCCTGTGCTGGACTGGAAAGGGATTGACTTGTATATTAATCTTGTTTTCTGCATCGTGCTATAAATACAGCCCCACTACTTGCTGTTGCAGCATGTGATGCAGCCCCTGGGGGCCCCAGAGTAAGAGGGCTGTGGACAAGACTGAGGCCACGGGGCTCCTGTGGGTCTGCAGCCGTGAGGGAACCGAGTTCCCCACGGTGGACGTTTGCTCTCGGAAAGGTTGGGGAAGGGAATTTCAGAGACTGGTTGGAGGCCTGGACAAGAAATACGTCCTTTCTGCACCTCATATTGGTAGCATACTTCACAGCTGTGGCTCCGTGGTGGAGGTCAGTGCAATCTACAGCTCTTTTCTTGTTACTTCCTCTGTCCATTGTGCATGGTTCTTCTGTGCAACTTTTCTCTGTGGAACTCCCCGTCACTATGCCTGTTGCCCAGCTAAAGTTCATCTCTCTGGTTTCACAAGGATGAGTGTTGAACTCTTTTCAGTTCAGACCTCCTTGAGGGATACGTTCTGTGTGTCCAAAATGAAGCTGATGTGGTTTGCCCCAAACAGCAACGTGTTAGAATGTGAAGCTCCAAAATGAGAGGCGTGGCTGTGTCAGTCCTGGGTTCAAGTCCAGGCTCTGCCACTCAGGGTTTTGACCTCTGGCAGCACACTCAGCCATGTGGATCTCGACGTATCGATGATAATGATCTCTCCCCACAGCGTGGCTGCAAAGACCAAGTGAATCAGATGTTGAAAACCGCCTTGGGAACCATAACGTGGTCACTCACTTAGGTTGTGGTGGTATTAGTCCTGCTGTGTTTGCACGGGAAAATGCTCTTCCTGGCCCAGGAAAAATGGCCTTTCCTGTGGTGGGGGCCTCACCCTTTCCCTGCACGGGCCTCGGCTGGGCGCCTCCGTAATATCTCCGGGGTGCAGCCCTGCTCTCAGCCTGGGGTTGCACTGCAGCCCACATGCCTCTAGGCTCTGCACTTAGCTTAATATCATCTTACGACAAGCTGCCTGTTGTGTTTCTCCTTAAGCTTCATGATTATCAAACATTTTCCCCAATAAATGTCCAATTAATAAATAGATCAATGAATTTGCTTATCATAATTAGGAACCATAATGACCCTTATTTTTAGATATTACGGCTTTTCTTTCTATTCTGACTTATCATTATTAGATACACTTGATAATCTTGTTGAAGAACATATGGCAGGTATGGAGTAATGCCGGAGGACTTGCTTTTTTGAAGGGTGGCAGTTCCCAGGACTTGAGGCGGGCCCTGGGGATCTCATGTGAGCATCTGAGCTGAGTATTTACACACGACAGGGTGGAGCCTCATGTTTCTAAGACACATTGAGGGGGTTAAATATCCGTGCAGCTCACTTCATGGGTGACAAGGCAAGGCGTGGAATCAGGACACGGATCTGTGGCTGGAGTGAGAACAAAGTAGCAGTGAGCTTGCAGAGACCCCACGGTTGTTGGAAAAAGCGCAGGAAGACGGTCAGACTGTCCCATTGGTGATCACCTCAAGGAAACTGATTTTTCCCCCCTAAACTAAATTTTGTGAGTGACCTGAATTGTCCCGTGTGGAGTCCCCTCCCCATAAAGTTGAGGAAGCAGCACCCGGGAACATTAGCAGAGGCGGGCGTCCCCAGCGAGGGTGCATGGTCCCTCGTCTGCTTCCCCTTCTCTCGTGTGACTGAGGCCCTTCTGGGTCGTTCCAGTCTCTGACTGTTGTCGTTTTTGGTCTCTTCCTTGGTGGTGTTGAAGCTGCGGGATGCAGTCCATCCTGAGAAGAAGGACCAGAGCTCTGGTACATTTCCCAGCAGTGTTAGGCTGTGTCCTTAACTTACCATGTTGTGAAGTGTATTTTCTTTATAAAAGTAGTAGGAGTTCTTTAAGTTAAAAAAAAAAAAAAAAGGGGGCGCCTGGGTGGCTCAGTTGGTTAAGCGACTGCTTTCAGCTCAGGTCATGATCCTGGAGTCCTGGGATCGAGTCCTGCATCGGGCTCCCTGCTCAGCGGGGAGTCTGCTTCTCCCTCTGACCCTCCTCCCTCT